TGACGCCGTGGACGCGGAGCCACGCGTACACACGGGCAGGCAGAATGGAGGAGATTAGCGCGGGGCACCAGGTGGAGCGCCGCGGAACGATGACAGCATAGCTTGGATGGTGAGTGACGGCACGGTACCATCGGGCGAGGCCGTGAGCAGCTCGGCAAAGGCTCGCCCAGCGCTGTGGAGGCGCTGGAGTAGAGGGCCTTGACGAGCTTGGGCGGCGGCGAGGTCCGCGGCGAGAGCTAAGCACCTCTGCTGGAGAGCAGCCATAGCCTGTGACAGCTCGGTTTCGCGGTCGGTGTGGGGTGGCTGCTCAGTGCCAGCAGCCGAGGGCCTCGAGACAGAGGCGAGGTCCTCGGTACGCCTGTCCAAATTGTGGCCTAGCGTAGTGCGGGACCCTGTACGCTGACGTCCGTCACCCTTGAAGGGTGACTGGAGGGGCCGACGCGACCCCAGGGCTGGAGCCGCTAGGGCCACGCCCCGAGTGGTCGGGAGAGCCGCTTCCTCTCGCTCAGCAACGATGGAAGCGTGGATGGGGCACGAGGGCCTGTCTGGTTTAGTACCCTGCGGGGGGGCTGAAGCCGCCCCCGCGGGCTGACGGCGGTGGGGAGGCGGAGTGGTTTGCGCGGTGGGACCAGTCGTGATGCCGTGCAAGGCCGCTGAGGTCGGTCGCGTAGAAGGTTGGCGTCTCGGTGGGGCGGCATGGTCGGCAGCGTGTGGTATCGGCGGTGCGTCCTCCATGCCACTCAGTCCGCGGGGGTCACCCAGGTCATGGTCGGCGTCTTGGCGGTGGCCGATATCATCGTATGTGGGCGATATCGCTCTCGGGGACGGAGTTGCAGTAGGGATCGAGAGGTTTCCCGACGGGGCGGGGTTTTCGCTGGCTGGTCCGTCGTCCAAAGCGTCCGATCCCCCACCGAAGCTGAACTGGTCATCCTCCTGTTCGTCAGCGTCTTGAAAATGAGCGGCGTTGTCATGTGGGTGCGCTGCCGCTCTCAATGGCGGAGTCGGGGGCGCCGTGCGGGTGCCCGACGGGGCAGGGTTGGCGCTGGCTGGCCCGTTTCCCAGGAAGTCCAGGCCCCCACCAAAGCCGAACGGGTCGTCCTCCTGTTCGTCGAATATCGCCCGTTGGGCCTCGGCCCAGAGCTCGTCCGGGTTCTGTGGGATCTCTGGTCCAGCCGCGGGTGGTGCCTGGTCAGACAGCAGGGGATTTGGTTCCATTTTGTTGAGTTCCGCAGCTGTGAACCCAGCCCTGCGGTGTGGGAGGGGGAGTGTACGGTGTCTACGCTCGTAGATGGCGACAGCGACTCCATGAAGCACGGTCGCTTGGCGATGTCGTGATTTGGCAGCTTCGACATTGTCGTCTGGAAGGTTATGAGTACGTGCCGCCGTTGTGGCGAGGGCGTCAGCCTGACGATTGAACTCCTCCGCGATGGGCCCGATGAGCCCGAGGTCGATGCCCATGTCGCCCTGGTGGCTAGCGACTTTCTCGACGCGGAACATGTTGGGCTTGGCCATGACGCATCGGTGGATCTTTTCCCTGAGCTCCACGTGCGTGCCCTGCGGTGGTGAGTGTCCGTCGATGATCCTTTGGAAACCATCAACCACCGCCTGGTTGTCCACGAAAACGTGTACGGGCCGTTCAGCACATGCCGTGAGGTGGACAATGGCGAGGGTATCCGCAAGCTGTGCGTTCTGCGTAATGCCGTGAACGCGTGCACTGTAGTTCATGCGGTGGTCGATGCCGTAGTAGACGCCGTAGCCCGCTCGTGCAAGCAATGGGATGGCTTGGTTGGTGCATGCACCGTCCGTGGCAGCGTAGACCCATGTACAACCAGTGTCGTGGTCAAGGTAGGTGGTGTAGGAGTCCTGGGCTGAAGCCGCAGGATCTCCCTCAGGTGGGGGCCGCGGTATGGGCTGAGGTAGCGGGTCCCTCGCGAGGTCGGCCTGCAGGTCGAGGAGTGCTGGGTCTTCATCGAAGAGCCCGCAGTGTCTTGTGTGCGGCGGAAGACGGGCCCACTGCTCGTCACTGATGAGGGTGGTGAGAGGGACTCTTTCTCGGGCCCAGCACTTGCAGTCGCGAACAGTGTGCTCCTGAGTTTCCTCTTCCTCGTCACAGTATCGGCAGATGGGGCTGGGGTCAGCGGACGTGTTTGATCGGGATCGTCGCTGTTGGGTGTGGTCCCCGCCCGACAGGTAGTTCAGGAGGAGCGCCAGCTGCCATGCATTGCATTTGGCTGCTCCTTTCGTTCGGGCGAGCCACGTGCTGGCGAAGAGGTCGAGGCCCTGTCTGACAGAGGCCAGGTGTCCAAGGTCATGACGCCGTGCTTGATTTTTCTCAGAAAGGCTCTGCGTTGTGAGGCTCGCAGCATGTGAAGGAAGGCGTTTTGGGGAAAGTTCAGCCAACTGATCTGACAGCCCCAGTCGTCGTACATGATGCCAAATGTGGGCCAGGTCCAACGGAGCTGCTGAAGCGTCTGGACAAGTCGTCCTACAGGTCCTCCCCCGACAAGGGTCTGGACATGGTGTTGGAGATCCCTGACGAGACCGCAGAGAGTAGCGTCGCGGTTTACCTGTCGCCGCAGACACAGGAAGACTTCACGCTGCATAATGGCGTCAATCTCCAGGGCGTGTCCTGGGACGCACACGGCCATGAGAGTCCAAAACTCGACCCACCTGTTTCCCTTGGGGCGGGTAGCCGCCTTAAGGGCATGGTTGTAGGCAGTTTTGACGGGGCCTGATGGGGCTTGATTGTCGGTGCCCGTGGTACAGACGCTGGCAGCAAGGGAACGGGCGTGCCGCGCCTTAATAAGCATCGGTGATGGGAGCTTGCCAATGCGCGGCAGGCGACTAGTCGCCCTGCGAACACGGGCGTCAGCGGTGGCCGTGAGGTTAAGCGCGGCTGGAGCCGGCGCTGCCTCGGCGTTGATGTAACCCCCGACGAGCTTGAAGGAGTCGACCACGCGTAAGGGCCGTTCCGCCAGAGTGAGCT